TACTCCCGTAAGGATTTACACCCTCGGAAACCCTATACAGGGTCGCTATGGGTCGGAACCGACTCGAAGGCACTTAACAACAACAACAACAACAATAGGCAATTGGCTATTTAACTAAAAAACAAATACATTAAAACAAAGATAAGACTTTAAAATGATCAAACTTCTACAGATTTTCATAAAGTTATGATATATGTAATTTTAATATGTGAACTCTGGGGTCACACTGCTTGGGTTTGAGTTTAGCTCTATATTTTATTGGGTTTATCTCTGAGTTTCAGGTTACTTAACTTGAAACTTCAGTTATCTTAATCTGTAACATGGGCATTTTAGTGATAACTCTTCTTAGAGGACAGTTGTGAGAATTAAGAACATAACTTATATTAATGACCTATAACACATAATAAATACATAATATATTTTGTATTAATGTTAGTATGAGTGATCAATAAATACAGCAATGTTTCTATGTACTTTCTATCATAAATTTAAACAAATTAAAATAATTGAAGTTAATGTGTTTTTCCATACAAGGTAGCATTTGAAGCAGGATTCTTTTAAACAATATGCATTTGAAAAGAAACAATACATTTTAAATGCATATATATTCTGGGATATATTGTGAACTGTTCAATGCTTTTGAACATGTCATTGGTGATGTTAGATGGATCTTGGTTGAAAGTAGAGACTATGCAAAGGCATTTGACTATCTGGATCATGACAAATTATGAATAAGGTTGTGAAGAACAGGAATTTCAGAACAGTTAATTGTGCTCAAGCAGAATGTGTACCTAGCCAACAGGTAGCCATTGCAATAGCACAAAAGGGTACAAGAAAGATGTGTGTTGAGGATGTATCATTTCCCTTCTGCTTTTTCCATCTGTATGCTCAGCCAGTAAGCTGAGAAGTTAGACTAAATGAAGAGTAATACAGAATCAAGACTGGAGGAAGACTCATTAAGAACCTGTGATATGCAGATGATACTACCTTACTTGCTGAAATCAAAAAAAAAAAAAACACTTACAGATTAATATAAAAGGCTTCTTTGTGGATTATTTCTCAATATAAAGAAACAAAAATTCACACAATTGGACCAAAAAACAACATGATGACAAATGGAGAAAACATGAATTTTGTCAAGAATTTGATTTTAGTTGGATCCACAACTAACACTCAAGGAAGCCTAGGTCAAGAAATCAAGGAAAGTATTGCACTGAGCAAATCTGTTACAAAAGTCCTCTCTAAAGTGCCAGAAAGCAAAGAAGCCACTTTGAAGTGTAAAGTAGGTGTGTGTTTGGCCCAAGCCATGATATTTTCAATTGCTTTATATGCATGCAAAAGCTGGATAATGAGCAAGGAAGAAGAAGAAGAAAAAAAAGATGCAATTTTTTGAATGCATGGACTTCTAAGATGAATAAACATGTCTTCAAAGAAGTACAGCCAATACTCCTTAGAAGTGAGGGGGCAAGATTTAAGCTCATGGGTTGTTTTGTTAAGTTCTGTTGAGTCAATTCCAACTCAAATTGACCCTGTATAGGATTTTTAAGTAGCAACTGGTAAGCTTGAACTATCAACCTTTCCATTCAAATAGACCTTGCTGTCCAGCACATTAAACCACAGTGCCATGCGAGGACTACAAGCTCATGGTTAAAAACTGCTATATATACAATCCTACAATAACAGTGATCTATGGGTAATTATGAGTCTCAATGTGGCACTGTGGGTTAATGCAGTGGACTGCAAGATCATTTTGAACCGCAAGGCCGGTGGGTCAAATTCACCAGCTGCTCTTCGGAAACCTTATACAGGGTCACTATGAGTTGGAACAGACTTGATGTCACTTAACAACAACAACAACAGCAACATAGGTAACTAGGAAACACAGTGACTCTAGAATCAGCACAAGACTTCCAACTAAAAGACTGGCACCTCAAGCCAACTAGGCTCTCCATGGAGTCCTGGTGTGGCACTGTGGGCTAATGCGTTGGACTTCAAAGTCATTTGAATCACAAGGTCGGTAGTTCAAACTCACCAGCCTCTCCTTGGAAATCCTATACAGGGTCACTATGGGTCGGAACTGACTCAATGGCACTTAACAACAACAACAAGCCTCTTCATGGAAAAAAGATGAATATTTCTGCTCCCACAAAGATTTAGTCTTGGGAACCCTATACTGGGTCGCTATGATTTGGGACCAACTCGATGGTACTTAGCAACAAGAGCAAAGTATAGATAATATGGATAGATGCACAGGCTGAATTGTGTAGAGGACGATGATAAATATACCCACAAATAGAAAACGTTTTGACAGATGATATTTGAATATGGGTATTTACCTTTGCTGCAAACACACCTAAAGGGCAAAATGATGAAATTTTCTTAGCTATAATCAAACATCTTAAGGCAAAGAATTGCTGGACCTAGGGGCTCAGGCCCATAGTCTCAGGGAACACCATGATCAACTGGTACAACAATCCACAAAGACAGTGTTCTATACCCTAGTTTGGTGAGTAGTTTCAGGGACCTTAAGAGCTCATGCATGACCATCTAAGATGCAACTATTGGTCTATCTATGTGCAGAAAAAATAAGAGATGAAAATGGAAGATCTTTCAAATCAACTAGCCTAACTGACCAATGGACCATGTGAACATCATTCACCATGACTCTGAGATGAGAAGAACTAGATGGTGCACAGTTCCCATTACCAACTGCTTTGAAAGGGGGCACATTAGGAGGTCACAGGTAAAGTGGGAGAAAACATCAAACAAAACTCATAATTATATAAAAACAAACACCAGGCTTATGGGCCAGAAAATGACTGGAGCAACCCAAGGCTATGGCCCTTGATACCGTTCAGATCTGGAACAGAACTCACCCTTGTGGCCCAAATTTCAGCCAAACAGTAAGTAGGTATGTAGGGGGGTAAACACTGACAATGTATTCTCACCATGGAATGGTCAGTCATTCAAGATTAAAAAGGCAGCATTTACTTAAGGGGAGTCCTGGTGTGCTGTGAGATAATGTCCCAGATTTCAAAGCCATTTGAACTGCAAGGTTAGTGGTTCATGTTCACTAGCTGCTCCTTGAAAACCCTATACAGGGTTGCTATGTGTTGGAATCGACTCGACAGTACTTAACAACAACAACAACATTTACTTAAGGAGAAAGTTGAGAAGGAATGAGAAGGACAATGGAATGGAAATAGAAACCATAGGGAGGAAATGAAATAACTATTGTTGCATGAAGAGGATTGCAAACATTGAGATGAAACAAAGTTTATGATTTGTTGGATGCAAAACTGATTATCTTATCTGTAAACCTTCACTGAATTTACAATAAAAAGTTGTAAACAAAATTATGAAAACTTCTTAGACATTACCAAATATTTTAAGGAATGACTTGTTGGACCTGGAGGCTCAGGACCAAAGTTTCAGGGGACACCTTAGTCAACTTGCATGACAGAGTCCAACATCCAACAGAAACAATGTTCAATATCTTATTTTAGTGAGTTGTTGTTGTTAAATGCTGTCGAGTTGGTTCCGACCCATAGAGACCCCATATAGTGTTTCTGAGGAGCAGCTGGTGAGCTTGAACTACCAACCTTGCAGTTCAGACAGCTTTGCACATTAACTCACAGCGCCACACCAGGACTCCTGGTGAGTATCAACTGAGAACTTAAAAGCTCAAGAATGGTCTTCTAAGGTGTAACTATTGGTCTCATCCTGTCCAGAGGAAAGAAAAGAGATGAAAACTGAAGACCCTTGGAAACAATTAGTCCAGTGGACTAGTGCACCACATGAACATCAGTCTCCAAAACCACTACACCAGAAAAACTAAATGGTGTCTGCTTACTACTGTAAACTACTTTGAAAAGGATTGCATTAGAAGATCCTGGATAAAGTGGGGGGAAATGTAGTGCAAAATTAAAAATCATAAAAAAGACCAGGTTTACTGGTCAGATGGAGAGTGCTAGTGTCCCAAGACACTGACCCTAGGTCATCCTTCAGGTCTGGAACTGAACTCTCACCGTGACTTAGTTTTCAGCAAAGCATTGGTAGGTATGTAGAAGGGATGACACTAATAAGGTATGCACTACATAGAATGAGCAGTCGTTTGGTATCAAAACTGTAGCAGCATTTACCTAAAGACAAAATTCAGACGTGTTGGAAAAGAAAGAGAAATGGAAACAAGAAACACAGTGAGGAACTGATATAAGTATATTACACACACAAATTGTAGTTATTTAGATGAAAGGAAATGATTTGCTGAATATAAATCTGATGATCTTTTCTGTAAACTTTCACTCAACTCACAATAAAAAGCAAAATAAAAATGACTTAGTCTCATGTACTTTGGTCATGTTATCAAGAGGGACAAGTTCCTGGAGTAGGGCATCATGCTTGGTAAAATGGAGGGTCGATGAAGAGCATCCCGCAACACACAGTGACTGAACAATGAGCTCAAACATAGCAACGATTGTGGGGAGGGTGCAGGAGCAGATAGTATTTTCTTCCGTTGTATATAGAGTTGCATGAGAAGGTATCAACTAAATGGTGCCCAACAGCAACATACAATGAAATAGAAAAGTACTCAAATATATTTCATATTTTGTTCAGTTTTCAGAATTATGATCTCTATTTTGTCAAATTAACCATCTTAGTTTCTCTAACATACTTGAAAGCACAATGTCATTTAAAAGTTTTGATAAAATACAGTCTTGTATTAAATCACACAAACTCACTGTTGCATTTAAAATTAAAGATTAAAACTGTAGTTTCCATTTTTTAAATATAAGTGATTATAAAATGTTATTAGTTATTTTAAAATCTACATTATAAAGTTGCATGAGAAACTGATATCCCTATCCTTCTATTCCTGTAATACATTTTAGTAAAAGAAAGAAAGAAAACAAAAATTTCCGTTTCTTGCCTTTGATCCATAAGGAATCCAATGGAAGTCAACGTCAAGATAATGAAGGAAATCCTCAGAATGAGACTGACTTGTGGTAACACCTGAAAAACAATCACAAAGATCAATGGAATCTTGAAGTGTATTTTCAGAAAGAACATTAGCATTTAAAACTGCCAATGAAAATATCCCCAAATTTTACTTTATATTGCAACATTTATCATGATCGCTTTTAAAATAGGCTGAATAAGCAAAGGGCGTTTGGGAGCTCTGGTAGTGTAGTGGTTAGGAATCAGGCTGAAAATCGCAACGTCAGCAGTTTGAAACTACCAGCTGTTCCAGGGGAGAAAGATAAGACTTCCTGCTCCTGTAAAAGATTTACAGCCTTGGAAACCCTGTACAGGGTCGCTATGAGTCGGAACCGACTCCACGGCACATAACCACCACCACCAATATTATTTCGTTAGTTGTTGGACACTGGGCAACTGAATTAGACGATTCTGCAATGATAACACAAAATGCTCTCTCAAAAAAGTCTCCTTTAACGTTTTGATTTCATAAATCTTTGAAGTATGTGTGCCCCCATGTAGGGAGAAAAAAATCACTCACATTTTTATGCATAAATGGCACAGTCTAAAAGCTAAAGAGGGGGGCTTCAAAATTTTCATGGAAAATGGAATTGAGAGATAATAGAATGCTGGTGCAAACTTTTGAATTCCCTTCATACATTATTTTTGTTATAATATGTCAAAAGATAGCTTAATATGCTTATATGAATATGGGCAATTCCCAGATTCTAGTCAAGTTATGTTCCTAAATCTATCTTGAAGTCGAATTTGTACATAAATGAGAAGAGTTAGTTGTGGTTTGAATTTAACTGTCAGTCAGTCAAATGTTTGTCTTAGTCTATAAGGTATATTTCTAAGCATAAAAACCTTAAAGAAACACTTCCATATACCCTAAAATATCTTTATCATAAGAATACAGAAACAATGATAATATTTTGCTGTGCATTCCAAAGTAATTCCATTTTCCATGAATGTTTGAAGCCCCTCATATATACCTCAAATTGTTATATAATAGGTTTTACTTGGGTTGGTTTGGAACTATGGGTTATACATAATTTGGATGTTCATAACCCAAGGAATGGAATAGATAGAGGTAGAGATATATAGAGAGATATAAGTACTCACAATACATTCACCTTTAATTGTTTTTGAGCTATAAGTATTAAAGAAAACTTGGGGTTTAAAACCACAAATAATTGGTAATATTGAAAATATGAGGGGGCTTCAAAAAGTTCATGTAAAAATTCCATTATCTTTTCATTCAATTTCTCATTGAACTTTCAGAAGCCCTCTCATATATGAAAAAAAGGAAACCTGAGAACCAGAGTGTCAATCAACTTTTACATCATCACACAGCTGATGAATTATGGCTCTGAAATTCCACAGACTGCCCCACCTCGTCTGACATTGGTAGGAGACAGAAGAACAACAAATTTAGAGAACCCTGATCTACAGATGTAAATTGTGGCTAGATAGCCAGCATTAAGAGGAGGATGAATACAGTTTCAGATTAAAAGGATGGCAGGAAAAATAAGGGGTTGCATACACAACCAAATCTACTTCAAACCTCTGTAACTTCTGATGTGAAGGTGGATTTTCTTGTGTTTATGCTGCCTCTGCCTTTATCATCCCTGTGACTCTTGAATATCAATTGTTTAGTTTCTGGGTTTGTCATATTGAAACTTAGAGTGGGAAAGCGTTTCCCAGTGTTACAACATTGTCAAAGGAAAAGAATCCAATGGGGCACCATAAGCAATTTATATCAACAATTTGTCATGAGATGAGATTTGTTCATTTAAAAAAAAAATGTCAACATGAGTAGATAATGTTTTCTCTATTTTCAGAACTCTCAGGATGTTTACTATAGCAATATACAGTTCATTGGTTCAGCAAAAGTAAACAAAATATACCAAACATGAAAATGCATGGCCTAAATAGTATAATAGGCAATATTTCAGAAATATTAGATTGATATGTAATTAATTAGAAAATTTCTACAAATATTGTTAAGAAAAAGAAAAAAAATTGAATTTAGACAATTTAACCCAATATTGAAATATTAGGTATGCTTGTTGTTGTTGTTAAGTGCCGTCGAGTCGGTTTTGACCCATAGCGATCCTGAACAGGGTTTCTGAGGCTGTAAATCTTTACGGGAGCAGATAGCCTCATCTTTCTACAGCAGAACCGCTGGTAGTTTCGAACTGCTGACCTTGTGCTTCGCAGCCCAATTCATAACGACTACACTACCAGAGCTCCTTATTAGGTATGCTACATATTTTAAAATATGGTTCCAGTTTTATTAAAATATGAATACATAGAAACAAGGTATCCAATTTACCCTATTGCTTCAAACAACCAAAAAAGGGCAACATATTTGACGCAAGCACTTTCAAGACTCTGGACACCAGGTAACAGTGGACAGTGATTCCAGAGATCTAAGATAAAGATAACGTAAACCCTGTAAGCCTTAAGAGACAGCTCCCAGGCCTCAGCACAGAGTGAGGGAACTCAGAGGAACCTCACAAACTCCTTGAGTTGAGGGGATAAGATAGGAATTTGGGGAGGTTAAAACCATCTCTGTCAAGCTGATGAAGCAAAATCAGAACAGACTCAAATCTTTAAAATTTGGGTGAAGTGGGATGATAACTGGATTGGGAAAAACTGTAGGGAGAAGGCCTGAAATGAGAGACTTAGAAGAGGTGTAGTAAGCCCTTTCAAGAGACTGATGCAGGAGACTTGATTACTGACAGGACTGACAGGACTGGCAGCAGAACAACACATATTCAATGTGGTGTTTCAAAGCCACTGTTGTTTCCAACTCTGCCTAGCAAAGGATTTTTAATAATATTTGACTCTGTCTTCTTGAGCTGTTCTTTGAAAATTTCTATTTAGCTCTTATATCTCCTCATTTCTTACATTTGCTTTAGCATCTCTGAGCTGTAGAGCCAGTTTCAGAGGCTCTTCTGACATCCATTTTGGTCTTTTCCTTCTTTCTTGTCTTCTTAATGACCTTTTGTTTTCTTCCTCTATGATATTCTTGATATCATCCCACAACTCTTCTGGTCTTTGTTCTGTAGTGTCTAATGCACCAAATCTGTCCTTCAGATGATCTCTGATTATCTGGTGGGATAGGTTTAAGGTCAAATTTTGGCTCTGACTTGTTTTAATTTTCTCCAGCTTCAGCCTGAACAAGCATATGAGCAATTGATGTTGTTCCACATTCTGCCCTGGTCTTGTTTTGGCTGATGATATGGAGTTTTTACACTGTCTTTTTCCACAGATGTAGTCAATTTGATTTCTGTGTACTCCCTCAGGTGAGGTCCATGTGTATAGTTCTCTTTCATGTTGTTTAAAGAAGGAGTTTGCAATGAAGATTTCATTGGTATTGCAAAATTCTTTCATGTGATCTCCAGCATAATTTCTATCACCAGGACCATATTTTCCAATTCTTTATTTTCCTCTTTGTTTCCAACCTTTGCATTCCAATTACCAGCAATTATCACTATATCTTAATTTCATGTTTGATCAATATCAGACTGATGAAATTAATAAAATTCTTCAATGTCATCATTAGCTTTAGTGTTTGGTGCATAAATTTGGATAATAGTAGTATTAACTGGTCTTCCTTATAGGTATATGTATATTTTTCTATCACAGACAGCATTGGTCTTTAAGACTGACCTTGATATATATATATAATATATATATAATATAATTATGTGACACCGTTCCTCTTCCACTTGTCATTTTTGGCATAGCAAACCATGTGATTGTCAGATTAAAAATGGCCAATGCCGGTCATATCAGCTCACTATTGCCTAGGATATTGATGTTTATGCATTCCATTTCATTTAGACAATTTCTAATTTTCCTAGACTCATACTTCATACATTCCATGTACCAATTATTAATGGATGTTTACAGTTGTTTCTCTTCATTTTGAGTTGTGTCCCATCTGCAAATGAAGCTCTTGAAGACTACTCCATTCACGTCATCATGGTCAATCATACTCTGAGGAGGCAGCTCTTTCCCAGTCATATTTTGAGTGATTTCCAACCTGAGTGGCTCATCTTCTGGCACTGTATCTGACAATATTCTGGTGCGCTTCATTATTCTTCAATAGTCAGTATTCTGGTGCTATCTGACAGTGTTCCACTGCTATTTATAAGGTTTTCAGTGACTAAATATTCAGAATTACTTTGTCTCTCCTTCTTCCTAGTCAGTCGTCATCTGGAAACTTATATGAAACCTTTCCATCGTGTTTGACTCTGCTGGTATTTAAAATACCAGTAGTATAGCTTCTAGAATCACAGCAACATGCAAGCCACCAGGGTCCGACAAACTGACAGACGAGTGGTGGTTTCTACCTAAAATTATTCCTGTTCCAATGATCACTCCAGTTTACCTTCATTTTAAAAACTTATGTCACTTCCATTTTTGCTTCTTTGGCCAGGATTGAACTGGGAAGAACTGGTTCAAAACTATGTGATACCAGAAAAGGATTAGAGCTTTCAGTGCCAAGTGTTCACACAGCTTAATGCTGTTCCCTCCTGGTAGAATTGAATCTCCCGTGATTCACTGGGTTGAAAAAATGTAAGGGTCTTACATTAACACATAGGAATAATTAGTTATTATTATTATTATTATTATATTTCAGTAGAATACATGGGATATAATAATTGTCATGGCAACTCACAATGATAACTGTTTCTGAAGTCTATTCTAAAGTCCTTCCCTTGCTCCACATTTACTGCATTAATTTCATTTCTTCAAATTATAATTGATGTTCATTTTAGCTCATGTTTCTTTCTTTTTTTTTTTTTTTTATTGCATCAGTTACCCTCTAGGTCCTTCAGGAAATTAAATGAAACCCCAAAGGGATACACTTGAAGAGAACAGTATATACTTGATGTGACATGCTATAGGACCTAAGCTACATCTCATTTGACCAAGTGACAATACCTGCTATGAAGTAGAACTAAATATATATTTAAAAACTTTAAAAAGAGTTTATTAAAATATATTGATATAAAAAC